TATATAATATAAACATTCTAATAACTTTAAACCATGAAGAAAGAACATCTAAATATTAATTTCACTACATTTTCAACAAAATATACAGTGTCTATATCAGGGAAAAAATTATATCTCAAATATATAAAAACAATTTCACTCAACAATAATAAAAAAAAATCTGATTTGTTAAACAAGAAAGTTGGAAACACACTAAATTAAATGAATTTAAATGAGCATAAAATAGAAATATTTTTTAAAACAGATTGTTTAACATCATTTAAAATTATTTTAATTATATAACAAAATAAAATATATAATAAGTCTGACCATTTCTGAGAAAGAAGGAAAAGAAATTGTACATTAATGATTAATAAGAATATAATAATAATAAAGATATTAATATATAATGCTATATAATATTATATATTATGTTAAAACAGTACTTCATATGAATCTTAATAAGTTGTGATCAAAACCCAGTTATCAAAAAGGAATTTCACTAACTGATTATCATTAATCACACTCACAATTACACCCAATTGCATTGGTACTTAAAACAGTGGTAAATCATGTCTGCAAAAAAGAAGTCATCAGCACATTTATGATAAATATTCATAAAGTTTTAAATAATCACAGTGACCAGTCAGATAGAGGTTACGTTGTATTTGACCAATCAGAGGCCTGAGCTGATGTTTCTGTTCTGACTGCAGGACCGAGACGTGAGGATGACTCCAGACCCAGAGGAGGTACCGACTCTGTTAATGAGGCATACACGTTTGTGTTTTATTAGAAATATGTCAAAGTGGAAAATGCAAATGTTTAAGTCTCAAATGTGTCGTGCTTCGGCAGTCCATCAGGTGCACTTTATCCTGCTGCAGCTGCGTGTGTTTCAGACCAGGAAGTGTACAGCTCAGGTCATGTGATTGCTGTGGACACGGCTGGGTGGCACATGGTAATACCATGGATACACATTTTATATTACACTGTTACATACACTGTTTGTATTTAAAAGGACAGTAACATTAGCCTTAATGATTATTGATAATAAAAAACTGTGTCTCCATAATATAGGTGACAGGTTAATGTCCCTGTGATGCAGGTATTCGAACAGATGTGTGTATTGCAAAGTCCTGGAGACTGAAAAAAAATGTTTATATAGGTTTAATCTAATTTGAGTCCCCAAATGGCAATATTTAATTAAACTGTGTTAAATAAATTTCAATAAATAAAACTGTGCTTTTTGATATGTAAAACAGAGGTCATGTGTCTGACGAAGCTAAGTATTGAGTCAGAGTCGGCTTCTTTTTGTAACGTGAAGTCGTGGAAAACAAACTTCTTGACAAAATGTCAGTAGTCATGTTAGCCCTCAGAGTGCAGATGTGTGCTGTCACTATGGTGACATGGAGTCAGGTGTCGCTGTCATCACATCAGTGTGAGCATCTGGAGTAAGCATCTGTACACTCGCACACACAAATGTTGCAGTGTGTAGATGGTAAACACACATCTGTTGCTTTGACAAACAGGTGAGTCGTACCTGTGGCTGGCCTTCAGAGGCATCTTATCACTGTTGACCTTTTTGTATATTTTTTAATCACCAGATTATCACTGATGTATCTCATTTTTCATTTTTATAAATACAAAACTTGGAAACTGTATTTGCCCCTTCAGCACTGGAGAAGCTCCAGGCCCAGCCTCCCTCCAGCTGTGGTCCAGTGGAGGTGGCTCTTCCTGGGGTGGTGTTCGACCTGAGCTCCCTGGTCTTGTACGGAGCTCAGGCCATTCCTGTTTGTCTCAAGATATTGCTGGACCGCCTCTACAGCATCCTGACCCCAGAGCAGGTAAGTAAGTGCACCTCTGTGATTGGTAGTAATGCAGAGAAGCCGTTTGAATTTACTTTTTCTCTTTTCCAGGTCGGACACATACTTCACACTTTGGGCTGGAATTTGGGGGATTATGTTAGAGGCTACATGCTGCAGGTAAACTACTCACAGTAGTGACTGAGTGAATGTGAACATCTAATGTCTGACATTAAAATAACCTGTAGTTTGTGATACCATATGAAGAAGTAACAGCTAAAACGAATATAAGATTAACATTAAATAATTACAAATTAATTGTAAACCAGCAAGCATGAGTATATTCTTTACCTTTTGGTTTTTAAGTTAAGGATTCTCAAAATTGAGTTTGTAGTTTGGGGGCATTCAAAAGGCACCAATTAGATGTAAGTGTTTACTAAATCCAGGTAAGAAGAAGTACACACCTTTCACCAGATCCCAGAGGAAAAATCAAACAAGAATTGCTTTTATAACTGTGGCTCGGATTAAAAGGTGGATGATATTTAGAAACTAATGAGAAAAGTAAAACTTGAATTTCTGTTTTTAAAACTGCTCCTGCTTCTGTTTTAGCAGATTTGGACTAGTTCTTCACTATTCACACGTAATGTACACTCATTC